TTTTCTGATGAAATTGCTGCTAGAGTGAGGTATAATTGTATAGGCAAGTCACAGAGTTGTTGTACTCATTGAAACAAGTACCTCTTTTTAGCTCCGCTGTCGACTTTGTCGAGCGGATGTTATCATATGAGTGATTGTCGGTCGTTGCCCGTGTCAATGTTTTACTTTTTCGACTTCTTGAAAACTACAAGCCTGAATGCTTTGATACTTGGTGTATATGTACCTTGGGTAGACCTCTCTTAGATTTGTTCATTTCATCATGATATCTTCAATTCTCTAATTTTGGTGAGTATTTTTGTCATTTTTGGTAAAAAGTGATATTTTCGACCTCTTGTTGAAAACCGCAAGTCCAATTGCTTTGATATTACATATATAGGTACTACATGTGGACCTCTCTCAGATTTGTTCATTTTGGAATGATATCTTCAATTCTCTAATTTTGATGATTATTTTTGTAATTTTTGGTAAAAAGTGATATTTTCCACTTCTTGTTGAAAATCGCATTGTTTTGATACTATACATATTGTTCATTTTCTAATGATATCTTCTGTTCTTAAATTGAAATGTGCATTGCTAACAGCGGAGCTATCTCAGCCGAGAGGCTGCTTGTTGTCTTTTTGGTCTTATGTTTTGACCTCTGTGTGTCCGTGTGTGCGTACGTTTGTGCGTGCGTGCGTCCGGACCTGGACCAATCAAAATCAAACTTCACACATACATCATACATAATATTACACATATGCACGTCAATTTGTTTCACAATCTGATTCAAAATGGCCGAATGGCGGCCATTTTTGTGCTAAAAATCATCAAAATCAAACATTTTCCAGCTGTTTACAGATGGATTTTGTTCAAACCTTGTATATACGTTGGACATTATAGGACCTTGATGCACATCATTTTGTTTTACGATCTGATTCAAGATGGCTGAATAGCAGCCATTTTTGTGCTAAAAAATCCTAAAAATCAAGCATTTCTCGGCTGTTTACAGATGGATTTTGTTCAAATTTAGTATATACATTAGACATTATGGGACCTTGATGCAAATAATTTTGTTTTTCAGATAAGATTAAAAATGGCCAACTGGCGGCCATTATGTTTTAATGAATGTGGTTCTCGTGCCATATCTCTGACTTGCTTTCACTGATTATGTTCAAATTTCAAATATTCATTATACATCATGTCATAGATAGACAGATATATTGGTTTGATGATCATATTCAAAATGGCCAAATGGTGGCCATGTTTGTGCTAAAAAATCATAAAATATCAAGCATTTCTGGCATTTATGGATGGATTTTGTTCAAACTTGGTACATATATTAGACATTACAGGTTCCTGATGCACATCATTTATTTTTCAGATCGGATTCAAAATGGATGTCTGGTGGCCATTTTGTTTTAATGAATGGGCTTCTAGAGCCATATCTCTTAAATGCTTTGACTGATTATATATTCAAATTTTATATATTCGTTATACATCATGTTATATATATATATACATGTATTCAAAATGGGCTGATTTTGAATGCTGTTCCAGAGCAATATCTCTCAATATGGACAAGTACTTGTTTGACGATCAGATACAAATGTCAATCATTTTAATGTTAAAAAATTATATTCCTGACATGGTTATATTCCAGATATATCACTATAAATAAAATTATATATCTTAAATTTGATAACTAACGGGGACTGTGCCATGCATGGCTTGTCTTTTTAAATTTTACATTTTCGACTTCTTCTTAAAAACCATTAGCTATATGAGTGTCATAGTGACTACAATTGTACCATGGATGATCTTTACACAGATTTGTTCATTTTGTGACAATTTATGCCTTCTATTCTTTAATTATAATGAATCTTCTGTCACTTTTGTTACTACTTCTTCCAAAAATGACTAGCCCAATTGCTGTGATATTTTATATGTGTACACCTTTGGCGGACCTCAGTCAGATTTCTGCATTTTGTGAAGATACCTTCAATTTATTAATTTTTAGCTCCGCTGTCGACTTTGTCGAGCGTAGCTTATCATATGAGTGATTGTCCGGCGGCGTCCGGCGTCCGTGTCAATGTTTTACATTTTTCTACTTCTTCTTGAAAACTACAAGCCTGAATGCTTTGATACTTGGTGTATATGTACCTTGGGTAGACCTCTCTTAGATTTGTTCATTTCATGATGATATCTTCAATTCTCTAATTTTGGTGAATATTTTTGTAATTTTTGGTAAAAAGTGATATTTTCAACTTCTTGTTAAAAACCGCAAGTCCAATTGCTTTGATATTACATATATAGGTACTATATGTCGACCTCTCTCAGATTTGTTCATTTTGTAATGATATCTTTAATTCTCTAATTTTGATGAATATTTTTGTCATTTTTGGTAAAAAGTGATATTTTCTTCTTGTTAAAAACCACAATCATTTATGGTTAAAAATTATATTTTTGAATTCTTGTTGAAAACAGCAAGTTCCATTGCATTGATACTATGCATATTGTTCATTTTCTAATGATATCTTCTGTTCTTTAATTGAAATGTGCATTGCTAACAGCGGAGCTATCTCAGCCGAGAGGCTGCTTGTTGTCATATGGGTAAAAAAAAATTCTATTTTCAACTACTTATTGAAAACGGCCACTCCAAATTGTGTAGATATTTTGGTGGACCTCAGTGGGATTTGTTTATTTTGTGACAATGCCTTCACTTTTTAGCTACGCTGTCTACTTTGTTGATCAGATTTGTTCATTTCATGTTGATATCTTCAATTCTCTAATTTTGATAAATATTTTTGTAATTTTTGGTAAAAAGTGATATTTTTGACTTCTTTGATATTACATATATAGGTACTACATGTGGTTCTATCTCAGATTTGTTCATTTCGTGATAATATCCTCAATTATCTAATTTTGATGAATATTTTTGTCATTTTAGTTTTGATACTATTCATATATTTCCTAATGATATCTTCTGTTTTTTAATTGCAATATGCATTGCTAACAGCAGAGCTATCTCAGTAGACAGGCTGCTTGTTTAATTTTTGTCATAAAAAAATGCTATTTTCAACGACTTCTTGAAAATAGCTAGTCCAATTGTTTAGATATTTTTTATGTCGATACTTTGAGTGGATCTCAGTCAGATTACTTTGATTCATTCCTCGATCGGATTAATTTATTTAGTTTTGGTAACTTCAATTTTCACATTTTACTGAATTTGTTTATCTTGAAAGTGGCTTGACTGATTGATGTGATATTCCTTTCTCATTATGCATCTCAAACCGTGGAGCTATATCAGCTGACAGACTACTAGTTTGGTTTTGTCGTGTAATTTGCCATTTTTCCTGTACATGTATCAACTCTAATCTTTAACTCTGCGAAAACACAATGAGTCTGTATATTTAGTGTCTCTGTACATTGTATGCATGTGTGAACTACTAAATGGATTTCATTAAAATATAGATGCTTTGAGATAATGCACAGACCTGATTACTGATTGATTTAAACCTGTGCATATTATTTACCTAATTTGCATAAGAATCAGCCAATTTCAAGCTCTTTCATTTGGTCTCTAAAAAACATCAACATATGTCAATGAAACTTTGTACATAAATGCACTGTGATAATCTACGAGTCAGATTAGTTTTTGGTTTCAATGACCTCTCAAAAAACACTCATCAAATTTCAATGAAATAATGTACTTAAATCCCCCTTAAATCCCCCAGGTTAAACCTCTGAATTGTTTCATTACTGTGT